CGTTCAGAGAAGTACGGAAAGTAATTAGCCAGCCGGGCTACATCTTCATTATCGGTATTCGCAACAACGCGTTTTTCATACCAGGCGCGGGATGCACCTGGTGACTTCCGGAGTCACGATCGGACAAAAAGAGAACGAGAAGAGCGACCCTGCTTCCGTTTCGTCCTTCATGCATGCGCTGCGAATAACAATGGGGTTACAGTGTGTAAACGCACAGTATTTATTCGTATCCCTCTCGAGCGAACGGGCGAGCTGCCCTGACAGCGATTATTCTTAATATCCCGTAATTATCCGTTTGTTGACGCACAATGTGGCTTAAAGTAACATCATCACGTCGTAAACATACGTTACGATATAGTGAAAGTGGCATACATTCTTCTGCACACACAGATACAGGATGCTCCAGAATTGTCTCGCGCCTTTTCATACACCGTGTCTGCAATTTACAAGGAAGATTTGGCAATTGAAAATTGGAGAATTTACAGAAATAGAATACATATGAACCTAATTATATAGCAATTTTCTATTTGAATAAATATATAAAAATATATTGTATAAATAGAAATAAATATTATAAATATATATAGATACATAGATTCTTAAACATTAAGAAGTAATTTTATATTAAACAATTATCAATAAAAAATTTCCAATTTATATACAAGATTATAAAAGTATTATGACATATTTTGTATTTTATGTTGGGTATTAATCGAAAAATAATTTTCTCTTAAAAATTTTCCTATTAAGAAGATAGTAAAAGAAACATAAAAAAATTTTAATCTTTTGTTATATTGTTACAGGTCATAAAAAAAATAATGAATTTTTGTATTTAATACAAAATTTTTCAATATCTCTTATAGTTCCTGAGATTTAAATATGGAAAGTAGGATTTTTTAAAGATATTTTCACTTTTAGAACTATTTATCAACTGAATCAAAAAATTACTATATGATTAAATTCACATGTACTTTATTTCTGCAAAGTTACTTTGTGTTTATAAAGATTTTTAGGCATTTTTAGATTGTCGAACTTTTCTAGTTAAATTTGTCAACCTCGCTTTATTCGCCGAATTAAATTTAATTGTTAACTTTTTAATTCAACAGAATTATAGTAGTTTAACTGCTATATTTATTGTTAAAAAAATTAAGGATTAGTAACACGTACAGATCTCTCTTTAAATTGAAAATATACCTTTAGATAAAAATGATGAATAAATTAAGAAAGAAAAACGTAAAGGAACTTAGAAAGAGCAACGATATTTCTTCGGATAATTAAACGTTAGTTACGATATTAATCGTAATCGTGATATGACTTCTATAGTGTACACAAGATATTTTCTTGTACAGAAAAAAAAATTGTGAGTTAAGAAAGGCAGAGGAGGAAAACCGTCCGTGGCTTAAAAAGTATACCTGGCAAGCTGAAGAGAAGCAATCGTATGTAATGATCTTAATGATAGCTCATTGAATGTCTATCGCAGGAAACACAGGAGGAAAAGGAGGGGTTTCGTCCTTCGGACATTTCTTAGTTATGTTGAATAAAACACGAGGATTGCAAGTCGTTTTAAATCGATTCTATAAAAACAATAAAAAATACGCAATGTGTTATGTATCTCGCGATTTTTCAAAGATCGTGGAACAGGAATTTGTATCATGTTATAGATGTGTGTGAAGTATACAATTTATGCTTCTACATTTATATACTTGTACTTGTGTATAACAATATGGATTGTAATAACTGTCCCTGTAAAATTGTCGTCTCTTAAAAATTATACATGCTACAAGATTTATATTATTGATTTTTTTTATTATTCGATGCTAAAATAAAGATGTTTTCAACATTCTACTGCATCGGTCGCGAGAATTGCATTATAGAGATCCGTATAAAGAGAAGAAAGAGCAAAGAAAAGATCGCTAACAAAACTAGCAGTTTCTGATCCGTAGCTTTTTTACATTGAATAGGTAAGATAAATAAGTTAAATAAATAGTGAGAAATTTAAAGGTGTGCATCTAAGGAGACTCTTTCACATAAAAAGGAGAATGAGAAAGGATTAAAAATAACCATCGTGTCACGTTGGCGCGTTGAGGAACGCCGACGGTACTTTGATGTGACCGGTCGAAATATGCGATATGTAAGCAAAGTCTGCTTGCTCACAGACTTTAAAATTAGTCTACGTGCTTTGTCTACGCTATGCGTGCTTACCGTCTGCGTACTTTTGCATTTATCTCACGTCTACTGTAAAACGAGTAAATTATCATTTTGTTGCATGTATACGTATAAAGATAAAGGATACGCATTGAATCAATCGATGAATAGACGTTTTAGATAGAGTGCAAGAAAATTATTATCAATTTTGAGACGATATTCTTATACTAGACTTTCAAACGCATGGTGAAATAATATTCTAGTATCAAGAAAATGAATCACGTTTGATTTCTTAGAACAGAAAGATTCTTAGCAAAAACATAAGAGAATAAAAAAATAATGGTAATAATAGTGGTAATTAAATATTATAATTTTTGTTGGTAAACATGTTTTCGATCAAAATTTATTTCTTAGAACAGAAAGATTCTTAGCGAAAACATAAGAGAATAAAAAAATAATGGTAATAATAGTGGTAATTAAATATTATAATTTTTGTTGGTAAACAAAACGTTTTTAATCAAAATTTAATTTTTTCGAAAATAATTTTTATAAAAAAAATTATCTTAAAATTTTATGTCTTTTAGAATAATTAATAAATGTGTCTTTTGCGTGAAATTTTATAGAACTCTCAATATTATTCCCTCAATGAATTTCTATCGAGCTAGTCAGTATTTACTGTTAGAGAAAAGTTGCAATCGGTCGAGGACATTCTGCACGTTTCGTAGTCTGAAGGGAATCAAGCGCGTTTTCACGGGAATTGCCTGCGGTTACATCGAACGTTCGCGAGAGTGCAACGATCGTGAATAATGTATGGCCATGGCATGCACGTTCGCGTATGTCCTTCGCTTATTAAAATTTTCACCGCGTCGCCCGTCGATGACGTTTTCCCTCGCGAAAAGTACGCGAGCGTCGCGGCACACCGCGCTTCCTGGGTGCGTCATCGCGGACGCAAGAACGCGCGCGCGGCTGAATCACCATGGAATTAATCGGATCGCCGCGATTGGTTCCTAATGCGACGGCCGATCGGGATTAATCTAACGGGAATGTCGGGAATTGCTGGCGCAACTGAATAATCTCCGATACCGCGTCTCGTGCGCGCGGCGACGCGCTAATTGTATTTATTAGTGAATGGGCCCTTTGTGCCGCGTCGACCTCGCGAAAGCATCCTTCGCAACCGAGTGCTCGCCTGTCATCATTGAAACCCATAGGTACGTGGAACGTTTCAGCGTTAATGAGAACGCGATGTGAGATTGAGAGAGAAATTTTAATAAAAAATAATCGCGCGCGAAAGTAAAGATAATTCTCATCTCGATGCTAAATTGGCAATAAACCGGATAAACTATTTCCTATTTCGTTGTGTGTATATGTAAAAAAATATGTATGTATTAAATTAATTGAATTTAATACATTAAAACTAATTTTATAAATAAATATTTCAAATAAAACATATTATGAAATTTTGAATTGAATTAATGCAAATATTTTTTATGTGAAAAATAAAATTTCTTATTTGTAGCTTATAGCTTTGATTTTAAAGAATTGGTATCTTTAATTAAGTTAAAAATTTTTAATATAATTTAATATAATTTGGAAAAATGTAATATAATGATGGGATGTATCATTTTTAATCGAAACTTAAGTTTTTATAAATTTTATAAAAAAAATTTTTTTAAGTAACTTGCATTTAATATTTTAAAATTTATAATTTTGTTGTATTGTGTTTTATATATTTAATTGTATTTTGATGTATGCGTATGTATGTTCAATTGAAATAATAAGAGTATTCTGAGTCTTTGAATATTTTTTGTATTACGTGGCACATGAAATTATAAACAAATTTCTATTTTGAACTCTGACGAGTTACATATTTAAATCATTTAAAGTGAGCTTTAAAGACAGTAGTAATTTAATTGTTACGACGTGTGTTGTAATAACTGACAATGAAAGTCTAAAAAAATATGTTAGTCTATTATTTATCTACTTATTTACAGTTATAATTTCAAAAATGTTGACTCGAAAAAGTATTAACTTTGAAATCTTTGAAATCTTATTTTAAAAATTTTACTTATTGGGATGTGAAAATTCCTTATCGAGAATGTAGAAATGCACGGCGATGGAGGACGAAGGAAATAGTTTGTTTGGTTATCTCTGATCGAATGGGGAAATATATTTACCCACGTGTGAGATTGCGGAAATCTAGGCGTATCACTATAAGCATCAACGGACGAATTAAGAAGAAACGGTCCCACAGGCACGGTCTCGATGACGTCACGAGTCCGGCAGGGATCAATCGGAGAGTCAAGTTGTGATAATTGCGACAATCGCGAGGATGCTTCCCAACGAGATGCTCAATTCAACCTCTCCCTTGCAACTTCGTCCCTCTTTTTGTCTTTTTCTTCGCTTTCTTTCGTTGTTCATTTTATGAGTTACACATGTCGCGTGGATATTATTACAATCATAATTCAAATAAGGAATGCGTAAAAGACTTAATAGACATGCGTCTCTAAGAAAAAGAACATTAATTTAAGACAAAACAGACACATAGCTTATTTTTGTAAGAGGTAGAGAATACCTTTGTTTTTATTTTAACTCTCAGGAAATTCACTTATCGAGTTCAGTCTGAATCCAGTGTGATAATCTATTATGACAATGTAATATATATGATAAATAATATACATTAAACCTTCCAATCTCAGATACGTGATTCAGTTAATCCGACCTAATAGTTTTAATAACACATTGATTATTCCGCGATAAAGTTTAAAAAGCGGGAATATTTCGAAAAATCGTAAATAAAATCGGAGCATTTAATGTATTAAGAATTAAAATTTTTGTAATTGTCTTTTTTTCTTTAGTTTCCGATGGAGAACCAAGGTTACGAGGAGGACCAGTCGCGCGCAGTAGAAGAGCAGTCCACACTCGAATCTCGTCGCGATCAGCAGCTTCGCGCGGATACGAACAACGTGACAGATGAGTCCGTTGTTGCGAGGACAACACCGTATTCTGAAGGCCACGTATACGAGGACATCGCCATCGGCGCGGGAACCGACGCGGCAACCGACGCGGGAACTGAAGCGGGAACCGACGCGGGAACCGACGCGGGAACCGATACTTGCGAGCTTGCCGAGACGTCTTGCCCCGACGAATCTCCAGATCCTCGTGAAATTGGGGATCGCCGATCGATCGATTTCGTTAAGCAAGCTTGGATCAACGAGTCATCGTCCCCCGTGACCGACAGGCTCTTCTCACAAAGTTCGTTATTCTCCTCAATTAGAGGCAGTACGAAATACGACAGCACCACACCCTTGTCCAAGACGAGTGAAGATGAATCTGAGGAAACCTTTGGGAAATCTCGCGATCTCCCGACACTTCCCCTCTCCGGGGACGTTTCAGAGAATGTGTCCTCGTCGCCTCAGACGAACGAAGACTCGTCGCGAGACGTCTCGGTGACGCAGTCCGATCGCCGGCCGAATCGCAGACGCAGGAAAAAGGACTGCAAACATTGCAGAAGTAAATTAGCCGACGCGGGCTCCTGCGAGAAATTAGACAAGCTGATGAGTAATAGTAATAAGGATGCGATCCTGAGAGAGAACGGGAACAATCATCGGGACAGACACCTGGACGCGTCCACTCTCCTGCTCCGGGAGTCGCTTCTGAGGCCGCAGAACGTAAAGATTTATCCGATCGTGAATAGGATGAGTCTCCGCGATATCGGTGCCAAGAAAAATTTCGCGTACGAGTATGGAGTGCATACGACGGAGAACCCGAAGTTCCTGCTGAACACGGATAAGATGTTTGGCCAGGTTGTGGAGAATGCTAGAGAGGACAAGATACTGAAGGGAGTATCGGGGAATGGAACTGATATGAGGATCAACTCAATATATTCGCAAGATCGCTGGTACGGCAAGGAGTCGCAGATATTCTATACCGATGTCAAAGATCAGAATCCTTTTCAGGTGAGTTGTGCTGAGTATGAGCGTCGAGTTTGCCTTTTGTTTCTATCTTTTCCTTTCTTAAGTATTATTATAAAATTTACAGCTCGATGTTATACTTTTCTTGAGTTGTTTTTTTAGACAATTCTTTTAATTGAAAGTAGGAAAAGTACATTTAAAAAATACATTTAATTAATTTAAATTAAGTCTTATTAATATACTTATAATATTCATAAAATGAGATATATATTGAATTATAATTTAGATTTGTTTTTAGATATTTATAATTATATATATAATTTATATAATTTATATATATATATATATATAATTTATATAAAGAAACGTGTATTTACGAATAAAAAGTAAAATAAGAATATACTCATTAAAAGAGTGTTAAATTCAATTACATTTATTAAGTTGTATTTTATGAATTGAATTTTTGAATTTTGATAGGAAATTCAAAATCTTAATAGGAAAATGAAAAATATCATTTTTTAATTTGCGAAGACAAAAGTATGAAGTCGTTTTTTTATTTTAATTGATATTTAAACGGTATTTTAAGTATAAGATACAAAATTGAAAAAAAGCTTTATACATAAGTAAAAATTAAAGATATCATTATGACATGGTAACAATAGATTTTTATATTTCACAAATCAGTTAATTGATAAGAGACAATGTGATTGTGAGATTAAAAAATTTTATTATTTTGTATTCTTTCTGTATTTAATTATTTTTTATATGAGGGAAATAGTAGAATTTTATATGTATTTCAAATCAATCATTATAATAATCAATTATAATACGATAAATTCATATGGAAAAACAATAATGCTGAGACAAAAAAGAGTTCAGTGTATAATTTTTTCTATTGTCAATTATTTGACATAGAGATGACAGTAGAATCTTACATATCAAATCAAGTTGATAACTTCATGGGGAGGAATAATGATATCAAGATTGAAAAAAAGTTTATTTTTATATTTCTTTTTATGTTAATTATTTATAAGGTTAAATATAACGCGGATACATTCAGAATTATTGCTAGGAAAAGAGAGTCAGGGAGAGCCACTGTGTCCAACTGGTTTCGATTTAACGACTGGCTAGAAGGCACGTTTAATTGAACATTTAGTCGCTATGTGGCGCATTTTGTTGTTAGTTTCTCGTATTTAAGATTTTCGGAGTGGCTAATATTAAGGGCTCGCACGGTGATAAAAGCATACTTACCTGGCGCAGAGGCTACCGTGATCAGCAAGGCGGTTCCTCCAGGGCGAGGCTCTTCCATTGCACTACGGTCGAGCTGACCCTTGCGAATACCCCTAAAGTGGGTATCTCGGGCGTATAATTTTTGTTAGTCGGGACTGCGTTCGCGCTGTCCCGGAGTAGTTTAACGCAAACAAAACACTTCCCTATAGGTTGCGGCGACCTAAACACTGAAGGGCTGAAGGCGGCAATTTACACTTCCCTTGTGTAAGTTGGACGCATCACTCTGTAGAGCACTGTGGAGGGAATGCTTTATTACTAAAGCCGTAAACAAATAAATCATTTTCTGTATGTACATGATATTGTGAATGATATTTTTATGTAGTAATATAAAAAAATTATATTAATAAATATTAATATATTTTAATATTGAATTCAAAGAAACTACGTCGGTCAATACGAACTTTACATACACAGTAAAAAAACATTTTGTATTTGTGTTAGAAACGGTCCACTCAAGTTTTTGTTGAAATTTTTAACATATCGAGTGTTAATTTAACATAATATGATTATGTTATTTTTAGATTTTGTGTTAAATTTATATTCAACATTTTTTAGTGTCAAAATAGCATTATTTATAAATAAGTAAGCAAATACTGTGTTTTAAAACGCAAATTTTAACATAAATGAATAAAATATATGTTAATTTAACTGAAAAAATGCTTCCATAGTTTGTTTACAAATTGTGTCAGTGTTTCATTTGTTGTGTAAATTTTTGTATATATTTGTGTTATTTTTAACATATTCATCTTACGATAAATTAATACAATAATTTAAGTGGACTGTTTGAGACATGTATAAAATATGCTAAATTTCACACAACTTTTCCAACTGTGTATGGCTCGCATTGATTTTGCTTTATGACTACAGACTGTTTATGACATGCAAGAAGTTAATTATATACAAACCAATTCCAACTACTAAGGGAATCTCCATATAGAACAAAAATCTCTATAGATATCCATTAGATGTTCGTCATAGAGCAAAATTAAAAATTCTCCTTTAAACATCCATATTCCGCATTTCATATTTTCACTCGACTTCTTTTAGATATTCTTAGATATTATTCGTAAATGTTTTTGAATGTTATACGTTATATCCCAAGCACAACATATAATAAAACACAAATGACTGTAACATTTATAAGGACATCAAATTCCTGAATTAATTTTTACATAAAACTTAATAAAACTGTCAAAACAACATCTCATTTATTTTCAAAATCAATTTTGGAGCGTCTCCTTCAAAGAATTATTTCATTAAAATATGAATAAAAAATCTCATAATGCTGCGGCTTTTATTCCATTTTAAACACGAGAAATAAAACATTGCTGTCTCCATCTATCGGCGGTGCCGTATATCAAGTTTATTTTATATCCATAATAGATATTTAATAGATGGACGTCGATGATGGATTTGTAGAGGACATCTATCATGGATATAGTATGAATCTTTATTAGAGATCTAGCTTTCACTGTGGAGATAGCTATTGTATGAAACTATGGAAGTTGTATATGGACATTTAATGGATGTCATGTTCTGTGTATTTTAATACAAATATTATACGTACATACATAGAAGTTAATTATATTATAAGTGTATATATTTAGAAAAATCTTTTTAAAGTTACTATTACAGTTACTATTACAGTTAATCAGTTGATTCTGAGTCACACTTCGCAAGTCCTTTCTAAAAGGCGGGATTAGGTCGTCGCGGTTACGTGAGCATCCTTTAATTTTGCGAGTTTCGTTATTGTTTCGTGGTCTCGTCCACACTGCGCGAAAATTAACGCTCAGAAACATACGTATGTATACGTGCAAACGTGAAGCACGATCGAGCCGTCAACGTACGTGTTACGTCATCGTTGCACACGTGGACGCTGCGCGTGCCAGTGTATACGCATGAGCGACGTAAAAGAGAGAAAGAGAAGCGCGGCTTTTAGAGAATTATAAAGCTTCGTGACAGGAGCGGTCGATCGGTATCTTTGACATTCCGCGGCGGAGCGTACAATTGTGACCGTTCTTGCGTCTCTTCATCGTTCACTGATGTGATCGTTTTTTATTAGTGGCAATCAAGAGTCGAGCAACTCTAAATGCAGGTAAAAGTTTTATCACCGGACATGCTCATGTAGAAAAATTATGTGGTATTGAAGAAAAGCATTACTAGAACTCAATGTAATTCTGTGCCTGTAAAGTTATGTTTTATACATGGAATATAAAAAAATACTACTTGATTTTTATGTAAATATATATTATTTATATTATTTTATTATATATATTTATAGAAACAACTAACATTTATATAGAAATATGTTTAATAACACATATTCTTTGATAATAGTGAAATGATTTTTTTATATTTATGACGCAACATTTTCCAGAGGGGTAAAATATATCTCAATGTAACACTTTTTATTGTAAACATTAATGCAATTAAAGGGCATTATCTTCCGTGTATATTTGTCGAATTAATGTATTATTGAAGCTTGATATTTTGCATTTGTATGGATACTTGTCAGGCCTCTTTTAAGTTTAGCATACTACGCGTTTGAAGACTACCGAAAGAAAAAACAGTTTTATCCGTAGGAATAAATATAATGCCAAGATTATTCAAAAGCAGCTAAATATAAATTCGCAGGTGTAACTTTATTTCGAGCATCTCTCCGAGCTTGTGTTATGCTTTCTATAGATAAATTCGGGACTACCATCCGGACATTTTAACGACAGCTAAGAAATCGTGGCTGAGGAGCGCATTACAGCTTAAATTATCATCGTTCATCATAAATAAAACGAATTAGAGTATCCGTGATACGTGAAATGTTATTATAATAAAATCTAATTTTTCAAAGTGAAAATCATAGTGAAAATCATGATATAATGTCTTGTCATTTCTGGTAAAAATATTATTGCTTATTTCGAAAATTATATATTATATTTGCAAAGGTTAAAAGCGAATATTTCGATCTACCAGCGGATTATCATCAGCGCTGTTAAACAAGAATTCAAATAACAAAAAACGTCAATCATAATGAAAATAAAAATAAAAATAAAAAGCCATAGACTCGTCATAATTTAATAAAAATTCGTAAAAATCATGTGTTGCATATAGTAGGATATCATGTATTAGTCAGCAATGTGTAAGTCAATCCATTAAAATGTCAGAAGAAGTGAAAATCAGAGCTTAGGTAATGTTGAAACATATTTTTATAAAAACAAAGAAAAATTTTCAGACATGGCTGGATAAAATGATAAATTACTTCTCTTTTCTGTTAAAATGTATTCTAAAATTATATTTCCCGAATACTATAATACTAATTTGAATATAATCTTTTTTTTGGATTTAGCAAGTAGAATTGTGTAAAAAAGAGGCGAATCCAACAATTCCTGCGTGCTTCCTAAATCGCCTAAAATGCATTAACTTGTTTATACTCTTTCTGGATAGTATTTTTATATAAAAATATGTCAACATAAATTCTCTCTCTCCGTTCTCTATTATATTTTTCTCTGTCTCCTTTCTATCTATCTCTCTATCTCTCATTCATTTCTGTAAAAGTTTTTAAATCCGTTGAATACTCTAGAAGAAGTGTTAATCCTCTAACTGTTTGCGAAAGAAAATAACATGTGCTCATAATTATAAAATCAGCAAAACTATTTGTCTGGCTTCTCTATCTAAAAAAAAGTAAGTGAAGCTAGAGCTTCGAGAGACAAGAACATTTCTTAGAACGATTAGCATATCGCTGAATAATAAACAAATAAAATAAGTCTAATACAGACGTATGTCCAAATGATAAAATTGTATTATATATTGTTATATCTGAATACTTATTAAAGTTTATTTTCATGATAAAGACTTAGTCAGGCTCGTTAGCTCTTATACTTATTATATATTGATTAAATAATAAAGTTAAAAAGTTAATAACCTTTAACTTAATTTTAATCGATTTAACTGATACAACTCTAGCTGATAAAATCTCGAAATTACCGAAATATTCTGTAGGTAATGCTTCTGATGCGTCTGTATTTATTTTATGAACATTAATTATTATACCGTATTTGTTTCTTGCCCGAATATTTTTGTTTAGACAAGCAATATGCACTTTTTACATTATTATTTTACATTTAATCCATAACACCGCGGTTACGAAACATTAAAAAAATTTTTTTTTAAATAATAATATGATCATATATGATATTTATTTAATGATTATATTATACGTATTATATTATAAAAGATGTAAAATGTCTACCGCGACGCATATGGGCAGGCTAATGGTTTTCCAGGAATATTCACCGGATATCCGTGCGTATTTTGATTGAAAGTTCTGGTGACGACGTGCGGGGATCAAATATAGATCGTGAGCGGATGATTAGAGAGGACAGTAAATAAAGTATTAAAACACAAACGCAAGCGACAAGAAATTGTTTCGAGCGCGCGTTTTGGTACCGCGGGGTCGTATTCGCGGCTCGCCAAGGTGGCTGGTCCGCGATTTCCCGGCTCGCGAGAGAGTCACGAGAGCTGACAGCTTCGGAGAAGAAGAAAACGGTCGCCGTCTGGCGCTGCACCGACGTAAAGAAACAAAACGGAGCGGAAGTGGAAGATGTCTATCTATAGCCCGGCGTGATCGCGACGGCGATGCTTGTCGTCATCATCGTCGTCAGTGACGATCGTCAGCAAAAATTACGAAAGACCTGCATTACAATAGACCTGCAGCGTTTCTCAAATATCTCTTAATGATCCATTATTTACCGATTCTGTAACTCTTAATAGTGTCTGCAGTATCGTTATATTGTTGTCGCGTAGATATTCTATGTGGTAATTAAAAAAGCTGCGCAACGACAATATAACGATATTGTCGTTAAGAATTACAGAATCGGGGCAATGGACGTTTTCCACCATTTTGTCCTTCTCGATGTATCGTAGCTTGGTGCAAGAAAATCGTAGAAGGTCAAACGCAGGGATATATGTCTTCTGACGTAATATACTCATCTACATTTTATTATGCAAAAGCTCTGTAGTTTTCTCTCTGTAGCTTTCTTCGCAATTTAAGTGGCTTGAATACATAATTAAAATGCCAACTGCGATTATTGATGAAATTCGAAGAAGTAGGTAGATCTATTTAACGATCCATCATGTGTGCGCTTTCGTAACATTGAAAACTGTCATCTTTTTAATTTCAAAGTCCACTAGAACACTAGCTGTAAGATTTATATTTTATATGACATCTATATCTTTTGGATCAATTCCTTTTTCTGTTCGACGAATTATTCTTTTATTTATGTTTATTTCTTCACTTATGTATAAGATTATACGTTTCTAGGATTAGATATCTCCTGCTCGTAAATTCATAGCCTATTTTAGGATCCGGTTCGTTACGTTCCCGTTTTCTTTTTGGTTTCAGAGGGCTTACTCCCTGCCGGCGCGGACGCACACCCCGACCTCACAGAATCGCGTTAATTTACGTCGAAGCGTCAGAAACGAGCCGCCACCGCATCCGGCGCGCCTGGACAAGCACCGTCGTGGTTGGACGTTACACCTGGCCCGTCCCCTGAAGGCATCCGGATGCTCAAGCCCACTCATACCCCTGCTGATCGTCGTGCTGATCCTGCTGGGGGTCGCAGGGGTCGCATTGTACATCGTCTTCGGTAAATAAACCTTCATTTATTTCATTTTATTTACTCTTAATGTCGTCGTTTTATTTCTTTGCTTATTATAAGTGGAAAATCCGAAGTTTTCGAGCGTTATCTCGCGATGTAGCGATGATGTATATTCTTTCCTGTTTTTTACATTGAAAATGGAGAAAGTAACGAAGATCTGTTGTTCGTTTCTATATAATTTTCTAAAACGCGTGACTATTCTTCTGATTATAATATCCATTTATTAAATAAAGATTGTTTAATAGCATTGCAAACGATGAGATCTTTGGAATGATTGTTTTTTACGAAGTACTTACTCCTTACTTGTTGCCTTGCTGTTAATTCATTTGAAACTCTATCAAGAGAAACGAAAGGCATATTGAAATCGCGCGGCGCGTGATGTTTTATTGCTTATGAAGTAACAGGAGTAGTTCGATGAAGGTTTGATGAAACGTTAGAAATAGTTCGTTAGATAGATATACGTTTGTCAGAATGAAATATTATTCAGCTCGAGATTAATCGCTCGATCAGACGTTTATTGATTTATCACAGAAGCTTAATTCATCTCGCGCTCATGCTGACTGCGCATTGACTCGCTTCCGTGTCGCCGAAGTGTATACAAGGTGCTTCAGATCTACTCCGCAACATCATTCTCAGAGATTTTTTATTTTCATATTACAAAAATTCAATCCAAGAAGTTTATCTCTTGTGATTTTTCAATTATTTATTACGATATTACAAAAGAAACAATTTTTTTTATCTATCTTGTCTATTGTTATTAACGCATCAGTTTTTCAACGTTAAAACGATTTTAATGACATAGAGCTCCTTGACACCTTACGACAATGTGGAACTTAATGAGACAAATTTGCAAGTCTTTATCGCTCGGAGCTTTGCTGTGCCGAGGGCTTGCGTGCCGGGACACCGTATATTAGCCGGGAATAAACGATACACTCGCCACCGCCGCGCGCCGGCGCCGTCGCCTTATCGTTCGGGCAATTAAAAGTATCTGCATCCCGCCAGCTGACGGCCGAGGTTTAAATCGACGCGAAGCGTGGCAATTGCTCCAACGAGATGAATTTAACCGCGGGGTCAACAGAACGTTTCCTCCGACCGTGTTTGCGCGCGCGGTCGATCGCGCTGAAGCGCGGCCGCGAGTAGTATGCGCGTCGTAACGCGCGATGAAAAGTGGCAAGAGCCAACGACCGTGTATTTCGCGGACGTTCGGCATGCCCGTGGCTCGAGAGAAAGTTCCTCGGGCCGTTTCTTCAACCCTTAACGGCGCAAGACACATCAAGAAGTTCCCATTCTTTCTTTCCACTTTCCATTCTCCGTTTTATAAAATTTACGAGAAAAATCGAGAAGTCTCTATTTCAGATTTATGAATTTCTTTCTATTTAATTTCTTTTTTTTGTTTTTTATTTTTCTCTTTTGTGTAATAATAAATTGACTGTTTTGATCGATTTTTATAAAATATAAAAAAGAATTAAAAATTTAAAAGAAGAAAGATTGGAGAATGTAATTTTGTTTTCCTCGAATTGTTTTTTCTTGTATACCAAAAATGTGCTGAAAAAGTGCTTTTTTAAGTTTTGTTTCGCGAGAAAAAATTTTTGTAAAAAATAAAAGGATGGCTCAAGTAATTAGAAAAAAAAAATGATATATCTTTGTGGAATTTTTGAGAATTTTCCTCACATTTCAGTGCGATCTTTTATTCTTTTAAAGAATATAATTTTGATAGTTGAAAAAGTATATATTTATAGCGCATTTCTTGACGTATCAACCGCGTTTTTCGATACATTCGATCCGTACTTCCGCCGTCGCGGAATGCGGTAACAAGCTTTTTCAGCCGCGATGACTGATCGCGTCACGCCTCCTTCTTTCTTTCAGAACCCGAGAAGCTCCAGATCATTCAGCAGTACCTGAAGTCGTCGACGAGTAAGTTGACGAGGCAGAACGTTACTTCCGGTGAACCGATCACGCCCGCGAACCTGAACGACGAATCAAATCTGACGACCGCGATGGCCAACATGACGCTAACGTCGATGACGGCAGAAACGTTCGCCGGGGGTGCGTTCACCATGAGCGACCCTTTAAACGGCAATCTATCATTTCCGGGAAGCACTTCGCCGTCGGGCGAGGGCGCGGAAACGGAAGCTGCGAGTCAGGATGTTATTAATGCGACGAGATATTGCGACGATTGCTTCGAGGGCGAGGTATGCGTCGCCGTCTTCGGCGAACAACTGCCGATATGCAGGAGTCCCCGCGATCGCGACGATCCCACCGGATGCGGTGGTTTCTGCGTCATTAATAGGCAGAAATGCCATCGTCTCGACGTGGACGCTTTCAGGTTCGTAATTGCTGCTTATATTTTTGATTGATAGCGTCGGGATTCAACCTGTATTATTGATGAATAGTAATGCGGTAGATCCTTTCTAAATGATAGTCATTAACAGAGATGTTCTGTCAGTGGCTCAAAAGATACTTGATATAGTAACTCTTATTATTACAATTATTAAATTATATGTATTCAATGTTTTTCTATTATTAATAATTTAATACTATAATATTTTATATTAATTATTTTAAATACTATATTATATTAACATTATATTAATAATTTAATTATCATAATTCTTTTTTTTAAATTTTATTATTGTTATAATTGTTACATGCTCCTGATGCTCTTTTAAATCTTGTAAAATACAAAATGCGATGTATTGTTTTTATTATTGCCATCCCTTAAAACATGAGACATTTTATATACAAGTTATATAAAAATAGCCGATAAGTAGACGATAAATGTATACATAGAAACTATGATAAATCAATAATTATTGGTGTCCATTTAGAGGCGTAGAGATTTAATTCATATTCACTTTGTTTGTTCAATTTAATTTATAATCAACATATCATATAAATTATAGCGAGCTTAATTTTTATTTTGTTAAAGATGCGAGAAGGTTAACTATTACTACCAAGAATGTTTTGACAACGAATGGACTTGTTCAAACATGTTGTGCATCCCCTTAGAGAAGCGTTGCGATGGACATATGAATTGCTACGACCATTCGGATGAGCACAATTGTGGTAGGTATAAATTTAAAAAATGTAATGATCCACGTATTTGTCTCCTTTTGCGAGATTTGAAACGACAGGATTACAACACTGTAAATAAATTTTGCGATTATTCTTATATCACTGATTTTACTTAGCCTCTTTACGTTTGGAAAAGATTTTTTTTTAATAAAAATGATAGATTTTGCAATGAAAAGCTTTATATATTAAATTTTTAAAATGTGTTTTGATTATAGTGGCGATTTGTAATGATAATTATAAAGAAAAGTAGAAAGTTACACACTTAAAGTATTATATGATTACACGAAAAATATAATTAATTATACAATTAATTATATTGATTGCAATTATAAAACTAGATAAATATAAATATTACTCGCTCATAATCTCAAATTGTCGTAAACTGGTCACGTCCGTCCACATGTTACTTGTCTCTTGTTAAAATATACCGCATTGCCCCAGTTCGTAGTAACCTATAACTTTCTGTTATCGGCTTTTCTTCTTTGCTATTATTTGCGAGGCTTCGCGGTTTACCGGTTTTTACTTCTGTATCGCCCCAATCATATTTTCCGCGTTAAAGCCAAAGCACAATCCCGAATTAAAATCAATCGATATCCCTCGATTAACTTAATAAAAAGGAGTGCAAATTACGAATGCCATATGGCCAAAGTGAGATGCGGAAGCTGTAATGAAATATATACAAAAGTATTCTTTTCTAAAAATAAAGAGATTTTATCGCGGTTCGATTTTGCAGAATCACAAGCATGCAAAATTACTTTTAGAAAATCAATATCACATTTATAAGTTATTTTAGAAGAAAAGAAAAATGTTTGGAGATAATAATATCGATAACTGCAAGAATTTACTTTCATACATCGTTAATTCTTATTGTCATTTAATATTCATTTTCACGACTTTAAGACGGATTATATTTTTGTGATAAATTACGTTTATAATTCATTACAAAAGGATCAAGCAATTTGCTCAATTGATTTTATACCGAGAATGGTTTGCGACATTTGTGACCGAGGGTATATGCAAATGCAAAATACGCGAAGCAAGTGGAATGCGATGTTATCAGATAGTACTACACGTTCTTTTTCAGTCTGCAATCTGGAGACGCATTTTCAGTGCGGTAACAAGACTTCCTGCCTTCCGTTGGAGAAGAGATGCGACGGAAAGATAGATTGCTGGGACGCAACCGACGAGATTAATTGCACGTTAGGTGAGCATTCCAGCGTCTTATTGCGATAACGATAGTCTAAGACGTCGAAATGTTCGTCAAACGGAAATATTGTATTATGCTACGTGTATCATATGGTGAAAGAGCATTGATTTTCGTAGATTGTTCGTAGGAACACAAATTGCAATCATATCTAAAATAAAAAAAAACCGTCAAGTGACACGGTGCCCTATATATATATTAAGAATTCCTTCAGTCGCACTTTAAGTTTTGTTGCAGCAAAATAATGATAAACGCCACGGCAAAATTGCCACGGCGAAATCATTATTAATTTTCTCAAAGCATTATTTGCAATAAAAATACCTTATGTTTTGTTTTCTTGATCACTTCTTCTCAAATGCTCTTTGAGTATACCTCCAAGATATTTAATGTTCTCGCAAGATACAGATAAAAAGAGATATCTGTAGGATGACTTGTATAAAATTACACAAGCAGAAAAGTTATTCGTAGTCCTCCTTGTACATCGCTTGACGAAAATCCTTTTCATACCTTTTTTTCTTTTTTTTCCTTTGTAGGTCGTGATCTTGGTGGGTGTGAGTACATATTTATATTTGAGATGCATGGATACTTTGCACAAGTTTGCACGCTGAATCCCTAATATGCATGATTTTATTATAGAAACAATAACAATGAAATTGTTTACGATTTCTTGCGTAATGTTAGCATTAAAATGAATTAATCTGTGGATACGTCGAAGTATCTAAAATGAGTTTGTCTCTGTATGTCGAAGTAAATACATCGACATATTCAGAGACTAACTCATTTTTATTCGAGGAATGTGCTTATGTTTATCACATACATTTCGAATATTCCAAAAAAAAAAGATAACTTGTAGATAAAAACAGTTAAATATGTTGTATAAATATAAGTAATTAGGTGTACAAATTTACATGATTTATTTGTTCAATATTCAAGAAAATGTTATTGAAATGCAGTTGATTCTCTAATAGAGAAATTTAAATATGATTCTAGGAGAATCAATTAAAAATCTCTTGTCTCGAATTATCGATTATTTGAGTAAAGACAGATCGTCGAAAAAAATATTGGTTTAATCTTTAATTTTTATTTTCAATTCAGTTTGCCCCTTGGACACCCAGTTTACTTGTAACAATGGGGAATGCATACTGAAAGTTCGTTTTTGCGACGGGCTGGCAGACTGCAGCGATAAATCGGACGAACCTCACGGATGCAAAGGGCGATGCAATAAACACGAATTTACATGCCAGTGAGTCAATATTTTAAGATCTTTCTGCATAAAAGACAGACGCAATAATTATGAAACAATATATTCTCTTAAGAAGATATCTTCTTTCTGCGAAATTGAATTTCCGATCCTTGAAATTCTTTTAAATTCTCGCATTCTTTTCTATTCTTAACATGTTAATGTTCTTGTTTTACGGATTATTAAATGAACCTTTTAATTCTTTCTGAGATAAATTATAACGATATCATTAAATGTATCGAATATTTTAATTTGATTTTAACATAATTCTTATCGAAAAGAATTGAGTTTTTTAAGTCAACACATCGCATATTTTTTTTACAGTATTTTTATTGGAAAAAATAAAAATGCTTTTACAAAAAAAGAATGGAAGAGAATTTGCAAAATTTTAATTCAAATATATCTCTTATACGTATAAAATTTTTCTGTTGTATAGAAACGGTAGATGCGTTACGAAAGGAATGAAGTGTAATGGGATTGATGATTGCGGAGATGGCTCCGATGAGAGACACTGCAAAGACCGGTTTACTTAGTATTTACCCATGAAGGAAGACATTGCCAATCAGAGAAAGATCAAATGCAGTATTTTATACAAATAAGTGTACGTAATGTATATAGCGTGTTGTATAGAGACAGAAATATGACAATATATATATTGAATCGCTTTATTTATTGAATCTAGTGCCATCTTAGTATATCCTCTTAGTTAATGTATCCTTTTTTTTCTTTCGAAAGGAATAATACATCAGAGAATTATTGTGATCATATCATTTTATTGTGTTACTATTAAGACATGTGTTACATACGCATTATAAACGAATTATAAATATATATTTATGATAATTAACTTTATTTAAACCAATTCTATACTCCTGTTCATGAAAAAAGGGAAATTACGCAAATTACGCAATTCTGAGTTTATGAGGAATATAATGTTATCGACACAAATGACCTAATGTAGCATATATATTTATCTAAATCTACTTATTATAAACACACTATGAAATTCAATATATAAAGTACATAATTGGATTTTTTAAAATAGTCAGATTACATATAATTCGTGATTTGTAAGAGATAAACGGAAATTCGACGTTGCAAAATGAATTCTCACTACTGTTTGCGATTTACCATTTGTATAATGTGGTTTTGTACACAAATTAACTCATTGTCTCTTAATTATCTTGAGAAACTGTTTTCTTAGCAAATCATGAGAGAATAACAAGTTACGAAAATTTGATAACATCTAATTCTTGGATATTCATAATATTTCATATGAATATCGTGAACTATGGAATAGTATATATTTGGTGCTAATTTTATACATTCCATTCAAATTTAATTTGGATTTTTTACTTTCACTTAATTTGATCAATGTTTCAAATCTTACTCTTTTTTTATACAAACTGTGTAACATATTTTTTCTCATTTTTTTTTTAGAAAATACTGAATATTCATACATGCTTACTATGACGAAATTTCAGAAATTGAAATTAATAATTGTAGATATATTTATATACACAGGTATGCAATGTACACACTTGTGAATTATGACTTACAGAAGAAAATGTTGCTGTTTTAAGTGATTCTAAGCAGTGTCTATATTTTTATATCGATTAATGTCTCTTTAAATCATTCTATAGGAATTCGTCCGGTTCCCGCGGTGCATCGAGATCTCGATAATGTATGACTGGTCGAAAATCGCCACTGCAATATTAAATATTTATTAGAAAAAAAATGAATATCAATATTATTACATATATATATATATATATATATATATATATATATATATATACACAGGATATTAAAGAATATATATGCACATGTAAAACAAAATAAATAATAATAAAATATTTAAATGTGAAACAATTCTTAAAAGTATAAAAAATTAGTATTTGATTGTACTATACATATAATGTGTGTGTATTTATGTATAGTGTGAAAGATGTATCTAAAAATTAAAATTGTCTACACATGCGTGACAGCCATATAATAAAATTCGTCGAAAAATTATATATATTATTAAAAGTAACAATATGCATATTTTTTCCTTCATTATGCTATAATGATATACAAGGCCTGTTCTTTTTAGCTGAACTGGCTGCATTAGTTCACAATTTATCTTTTTTTTTTCTACATTGGAAGAAGATAAACTCTGAACTAGTGCAGCCAGTTCAGCTAAAAAGAACAGACCTATAATGGCTATTGAAACATGACATCAGGATTTTCCAAGACATACGACCAACCGGACATAGGGTTTAAACGGAAATGGGACAAAATAAAATAACAAATCGTTAGAGTAACACACAAATAGATTTATTTGTTATTCATATTATAAATCAATTATAAATCAGCATCAGCAGATCCTTGGACTTTTAGATAAGATTGTATTAAAATTAATTTATGTTTATAATTTTAAAATTATTTTAATATATAAAAAGAAATAAAACAGATATCTTTTTTGCATATACAGGATGATTCTTTATTATATGTTAAAATTTCAAGAGTTAATCTAAAACTTAAAAAAACGAAGAATATGATAGATCTTTTGGACTTTATTTATTTGGTTACAAGAAAATGCAAGATAAATCTATTTTCTGCATAACGAATAAAGTCCAAATAGGCCTATTCTATATTATTTTCTTCATTTTGAGTCTTAGATTTATTCCTGAGACATTTATATTTGATTAAAACTCACCCTGTTATTCAATGTGTGTATATGTATATAGATGTATACACATGCACAGATGTAGATTTTTTTTGTTGGTTTCTAAATATATAATACCGGATCTCGATGCGCATTAAATAAATTTGATTTATATTATAAATAATATTTAAAAGATTGTGCTATAATTTTGTAGTATAATTTCTGGATCGCATTAATTTTTAACTTTATTTTAATGTTATTTCTTTCTTTTACCAATAGTGTGTTACGTATAATCCAGCATATAGCATAGAGAATCTGTAATGGTATTAGCATTTTTATGATATTGGTTAATCTCGTGGTCAAGCAATTATTCGCGTAGAAATTTCGACAAAAATTAAAACATATCCTTGTCCGGCTGGTCCAAGTCATTATAACTAATAACAGGTCTTGATGTAGTATCCGGAGCGGCCCTGTAAAACATTGTACCATGTTCAGTTTATCAATTCGAATGGACCAAGGATATACTATCTTGAATGTTGTGTTGATTCAATACATGGTTTACGTTAAAGAAAACTGAATATCAACAATATCGTGTTGATTCTCTTTATAAATTCTTCAACGATGCTTATCCATGGTTGGAGAACCATGACAATCTCGAAGTATCTACAGACTTTATTGATTGCACTGAAAAAAAAAACATGAAAAAAGAATAGTCTTACCGTCCTCGATTAAATCCGCCACGATTAGAACGTGGCGCACTAAATCCAAATCCGCCACCATAACCGGAACCATAATTGCTCCTGTTACTGCCAAATCCACTACTGTAACTTCCGAATCTAGAAATATTTGTGGATGTTTGCGTTGAGTACCTTAATGACGTTATTTCATGTTATCTCAATGTTATATGTATACTAAGATAATATTCCACAAAATTTGTAAAATCACATTTTTCATAACGTATACGTATCATAATAATAGTAGCATTTGTTTCTTAAGTACTTTGAATCGCCTGTAACTCTTGTACTTACGAACTGCAACCATATGGCGAAAAATTGTCACGCGAGCCTTCTCTCAGCGGAGCTTTGTTACCAGGATGCTCAGGAAGCTGAGGCCTTTTTGGATCTTTTAAATAATTGTTGAAGTACTCAGCTTCCGCTTTCACTTCAGCAACCTTCTCAGAATGCTTGTTAAAAATATGTTTGCGGATAAAATCGGGCCCTTTGAACTTCTTCCCGCTGAGAGGACACAACCATTTGTCCTTTGATAATTCTTGAGTGTTGGCTTGAACAAACTTTTCGACCTCACTATTCATATGTTAAGGAAATACTGTTTAAATTAAAATAGAAAACGTGAATCTGAAAAAAATGATTAATTTAAATCAGTATTCAAGATTTGTAATTCTTCTAGGCATGTCAGCGTATTTACATTTATTAACTTCCTTTTTTTTTTTTAAATAGAATAACATAAATGCCGACACATGTCAAGTCAATGCTCAGAATTACGAATTTTGGACAGTACTGGTTTAAACTAATCGCCATTTTTCATAAACTATAATTGCAATGTTATTATAACTAAATATTAAAAGCACATAGAAGAAAAGGATACGCTTCAGCATTTTTCGCCCCTAGTTTATCGAAGTCTTCGTCAGATAAAGTAGCAACCGGTTGTAGAAAGGCAGACATTTTGCTCTCAAAGTTACGACAATATTCCGACAATTCTGCACTTGAGACTTTAGCTGTAGGTGGACATCCCCTCACATGCATTATTCCGCATCTATTTGGCATCTCGTCCTCGTTTGGATACTCGCAGTGATTGTAATAATCAACGGAATGAACAACCCGCAAGTAGAGCACTAATCTGTCTAATACCTGTAAGAACACGTGTTGATTTTTGATATATGTATATATAAAATATAATTCATCGAATTAGTTTTTCCAGTCTTGATTTCCTTATACAATTTTGTTTAATTTACCTTGATTAAAACTGGATCTCTCTCAATTGAACTATCTCCATCGCCTAACTGACCTTCCTCTTGTTCACCTGACATACCTAGTAACTCTTCTTCTTCAGCTGAAGCTTCTTCTATCAAGTAATCCGTTATATTCTTCAATACTGGATTTTTCGATGACAATCCAAAAGCCTAAAATGACACATAAAAGTTTATATAATTGTGAATTTTTACTTCTGTTTGTAATATGTATAAATATAAATTTTACTTACAGCTTGTTCAATCTCGCTACTTTGAGTGGTCTTGTTTTCTTTGTCTTCTTCCTGTTTTACTTCATCTTTCTTCTCTTCTCTCCACAGGCCCACTTTATTATCCAAATTGTGAACAATTTTGGCACTAAGTTTAATGTCATGTCTGACTATTTGCTTGTGAGATGTTAAACCATTCACTGATCGAATACGTCGTGATAGATCTCTGTTCACTATTGCCCCAAGCTCACAATCACGTAGCTGTGAGAGACAAAGCAATTAAAAGCATCCGTTTTTATTTTTATTTTTTATAACATACACATATAAACTTACGCGGATATTATTTAAACTCCAGCAGATTTCTTTGATGTTCACTTGCCTCTCGAACGAAACCCAGCCGCGACGGAACCATCGTCTTTCCGGCTGTGGATCCGCTATAGCCACACGTAAGAACCCAGGGAATCGTTTGCACATCTATCCGACAAACATAATTATGTAATGTCACAATTATACTATAAATGTCGATAATCACATCGTTAATAAGAAAAAGAATAGCTCAAAATTAAAATGTAGATTGTTCAAACATTCACGAAAGTTTTTACAAGATTTAGTAATTAACAAAAAAGATATTTCAACTAACAGCTTCAACTTCTGCCTTAGTAATGGTCGGCGCCAAGTTACGAAGGAAAATGCTACTGGTCTTGTGCAAAGCCCTAGGTTCCTTCTCTCTGTCTTCGCTAGCCAAATCGATCACCGCTTCTGGTTCAATTGTAGACTTTTTATTATTTTTTGCCTCTACTTCCGTTTTAACTTCCTGCTTCTCTACTTGAACGTTTTTTTCATCGGTATCTTCGTTACCAGCTTCTATCTTCTCGTTGGCAGCTGTAATAATTATTGTGATGATTTGCATAAAATAAATACGAATATTATATTCTAATAACAGCTCGTTTTCACAAAGCATACAAATTAAATTACACTCACGCGTTTCCACTTTTGGTATGTTCAGTTTATTGCTGTCACTACCAGAGGAACTACTGCTGCTGCTGCTACTGCTGCTACTATTGCTGTCGGTACGTTTACGTTTTCTGGATTTCTCCGGTTTTTCCGCTGTAACAAAGTAATGCATAATTGTAATGCATGTAAACAGCAAATATGATCTATATGAAATAAATATTTTACATACAAAGTTTATCATCGTCAACAGTTTCTTCTACATCTTTACTTTCTACTTTCTCGTCTTCATTTTCCTTGGTTTTGTCAGCTATTGTATTTTCATCTTTCACCGAGCTTTCAACTTCCATATTAGCATTCTGAGAATCATTCTTAGAATCTTTCTCGTCACGTTGTGCGTCATCCACCTTATTTTCTTCGCTAAAATAAAATTAATAGAAAAATAATTAATATTATTTCATATATTTTCCTCAAAATATCTAATATCCTACAATACCTATTCTCAGATTTCTTCTCTGTAGAAGATTTTCTCTTGAGATCTTCTTTTTCTTTCAGAATATCTTTAGTTATTATAGGTTTAAGTGGTTTGACATTTAAAATCTGCAAATCTTCCTCTGTTCCTCCTTCCAATTTAATAACCACTGCGTCCAAAAGATGTAGCAACGAATCCGCTTGATCGGCATCAACAGACACCTTGTCTATATCTCCAGATTTCAGTAATTCGATAAAAATTTCCACGCGTTTCTAAAATAGAAATAAAATCGAGATTTTTCTGTCAGTATATGTTGTCAGTATATGGCCAAATATGTTAGTAACAAAATTAGAAAACGCTCAATATATACATTTTTATTATATACATATTTTGGCGGTGTATCTACCTTAAGTGCTGATACTTGCTCTTCTTTCCTTTTCACTGATTCCTCAGGATGGTATTTTATTTTGAACCTGGTGATCAATAGAAAAAAAAATGCGATAAATGGATGTTCACGAAATCAATATAATAATCAATATAATAATATATTAAACAAGTCCAGAATAGAAACACACATACGTATCAGTGACGCAGCTAGTTCTGTAATTTAAAAAAAAGCAACGCGGATGAAAACGTAGATCAAATTGAAAAGCGCATTTTTTCATGATATATGCACGCAGATATGAGGTATGTAAAACATCACAAAGTAATTTTTTAACGCGGAGGATAAAGAAAAATCGAAAAACGGACACATAAATGTTTCACTTCCTCATATTGTGCATGCACATGCATATAATATACCCACAAAATAAAAAGTTTTAAATATTATATCAATTATAATTCCCTTCATGTTTTACCTACAGCAACATATATGTTAAATCTACAATTTATATATAGCAGATAGAACGCGTATAGAACAAAGTACCCACGTGAAAAATGAAACATTAGTAAGTTTTAAAATTATAACTGTCGCTCTTTGTACCAATTACGTCATAAACAAAACCTCTTGAGATATAGTTTTAATTAGCCATAAATTGTCGTTTCGTAATTAACAAGGCCATACGTCATAATGCTCGAAAATATACCTTAAAGCTTTAAACATTTGAGTGCTACGCAGCGCAATCGCGTTGCTCATGTTTCATGTCAAAAAGTTTCAATAAATGTCACAGTAAGCTTGATAATACATTTAGCTTGCACTAATTCTCAGAGAACTTGATTACGCTTTACAGTTTACACAATCAAAATATTTTCTTCCAATTTATTAAAATCAATCAAAACTGTATCTATATGGTAAATTTTATTTCTACTTATGACATTTATTATGGCATTTTCTAACATGGAACAGAAGAAGCGCGAACGCATTTTTCACAAATGTTTTTACGATTCTTCACTTTCGGCACTCAAACGGTTAAACACATGGTCGGTAATATCAACTCAGAGTGGAGCCTCACCTGTAGTCATATTTCTACTCGCATTCAGTTTTCTCGTCGACACCGAGTCTTATCGACAAGGATATGCTCGAATGTAAAAATAAATAAACGGGTTTAGAACGCGGCCTACGCGAGCAATATTTGGGCTTTGCGCGCCCAGCTCGCAATCTATTTAGCTACCTAACAGGCACCTCGTGTCTTCAGCGATGCGCGAAACGCGAAATTCATAAAATATCGTACGAGAAAATAAACGAGCGAGATGACCCAAGATATAAGGCGATGGCGGCGATATGCTGTAGGGATAGACAGAGCTGATCATATTGTTTGAAATTAGCTACAATATATCGTATCTGCAATTTATCAAAGATTATAAATCGTCCATCTCTTCCAGGCATGTAGCCATACACGTACATGCATGGACAGAGTTCTATACGACCGATCTCCTACAGTGGTATTATTCAAAAATATTCATTGGTTATCTAATTATAATTTTTACGATGTTGCTCATTCTTTTAATAAGATAGCATTTTAGAGTCAATCAATTGCTTCTTAAAAATGTAAAAATAAATTCTATTTCATTATCTGTTAATCTACTAAAAAAAAAAATCACGATATAATTGTTTTTGCTGAATAATGTAATGATGCAACCCCAAAATGTATGTGTGAAAAAGAAGAATATAAGAATTAATATACCATTCTTCGTCTTTATGGGCGACAAAGAATTCATTGAGCTGTTGCCTCCTAAATTCCAATTTATACTCGTTGTAGCGTTTAATCGCCTCTTCATCAGTAATAGTATCTTCTTGAGTACCGAGGAATGCTTTGAATGTCATCATGGGTGGCTGGGTTTCAATATTTGAATTACTGAAATTTCCAGCAACTTCTCGACTGAAAAATAGAATTACATCATAAATATATCATTTCTCAAAGGTAAACAACTGTAAATATTACAATGATTAATCTACGCAATAGTTAATATTTAGTCATACAACATATTTGTTATTACATGTATAATTAACAAGTTCCAAAATATGACATTATTTTGTGCATTTAATATTTTTGCTCTTAAATGAGAATAAATTATTGTTTTTTTCTTTTTAAATAGTAACAAAGATCTCTAAGTAGAAGTAATAACTGTAGCTTTCTGCATTTAGTGAAATTTTTGCATCTTACGAATGTAAATACCTTAACTTAGCTAATAATTTTGGAGTCAAACGACTCCGTTTTGGCGGAAACCTCATAAATCCTGCCCTCCTCATCATTTAATATTTGTCATAGAGTCTAACGAAATTCAGAAAAGAAGACTTGGTTATAACAAAACAAACGAACCTGCTGCTATTATTATGATTGCCATAGTGATGGTTGCCATGGTGAGCAGAGGCATAATTATCTGGGCTCCAAGAATTTCCACCTGCTCCACTACCACCGCCGCCACCGCCGCCGCCACCACCGCCGCCACCGCCGCCGCCACCACTTCCACCATAATAATCATGTCCATATCTTGGTCTGTCCTCCCACTCGAATCGCATTCTCTTTAAAGGCGGCCCCATGTCTTGGGATCTCGCAGGGCTGTAACGATCGCGGCCTCCACTTCCACCGCCTCGGTACTCTCGATAATCTGGACGTTGCCTAGGACGGCTGGACCACTCTCTATAAGAATCACTATCAGTGTAATAGCAGCAACAGCAAAAAAAACACAACGAAAGAAACTAAATTATATAAGCAGCTTATTCCACAGTTCTTTTAATTATTTCTTTTTCAATGTGACAAAAGAAGAAGATATTACAGGTTTTTAACAGATTGCGTATCATGAAAAGCAAGATAAAAATTTTATTTGTCGTCAAGGGTAACTGTCCCTATTAGTGTGCCCTGTACCTATTAGGTACAAATAAATATGGTACAAATAAATTGTACAAAGTTTTTTTTTATAAAGTTAATACTTTAACTTTATAAAAAAAAATACTTTGTACTATTTATTTGTATCAGTTTATTTTTATAAATTATTTAAATATAAAAGCACACTAATGGGTACACTAATAGGGACAGTTATCCTATAAACCGCTTATAAAGTTATAATAATTTAAAATAAGATTAGATAGATGTAAGACACATAAATGTACCTATCAACCCACTCGTCGCGCCTGCGATCATCTCTGCGCTCTCGTGAGTACGATTCCGTTCTCTCACCCCTGAATTTATCACGTCTCTTTCTATCATATTCATCGTCAGAGTCTGCCATCTTTGCAAGGTAAAACCTTTATATCTGAAAAGACACGTGAGAAAGTGTTTAGTTAAGATACGATACACGAGATGATTCAACGAGAATCGAGATGAGTCTGTGAGAATGAGGTTAGGAGCAAAGTACTAATTAATGTAAACTAATACAAATGGTCTTTCCCTACGAAGTGATAGGGGAATCGGCGACAATTGAAGCTTCTTTCTGCGCGAGCGAGTAAGTCCAAATGCGTTAAAATCGAAGAGCCTTCCATCCGGAAAGAACGCGAAATGGAAACAGCCATCGTTTCAAAGCAACGTGATCTGCCCCGTCCCGCTTCGTTCGGGAAAACAGCCATCACGCACAATATAGAAGTGTGGAGTATCGGATGACGAGACGATTGATTTTTTTCACTTACCACGTACGTACCACTTCACGACGCTGAGATAAAAGCAAAAATGCCCAATAAAATAGCCCGGGAACACTCCGGCTACCTCACACCTGCGTCACCCGTCACCAACGATCTGCGTGTCTACGTCACCGTCGGCGCTACTGGGCGCTAGTGCGCTACAGTCCGCTATCGATCGACTCTCGCACTCTCGAATCGACGCTTGCGGGAAATTCCGATTTCTAAATTGGCGCAAAAGACGTGCGAAGCACTTGAGGCAAACTGCTTTCGTCATTGTTCAAATATTTAAGGAAATGTTTATAAGTTTCTAATTATATTTTGAGTTATACCTTATTGGCCTGCAGTATGTATGTACATGTTCGAGAATTTGAGATAAATCTATGTAGAACGTATATAATCTAACTGCAATGTATATTTATATATATATATTACTTTTCATTTGTTTTTTTATCACTATTAAATTCGAGGGGAATTTTTAATTTATTTTAAATTTATTTTATTATTAAAACTCAATAGTTGAAGTTAAATATATTAGTTTGTTTAGTTTTTTCTTTATATTATAAAATGATTTCAATAAGTTTATTTATTTTAATTCAGCATATTTTTCTTTTGCGTGAATTAAAGATTTAAAAATGTTCGCAGATCGTTCTTTAGAAATTATACTTTGCATAAATTAAAGATTAAACTAATTAACATTGCGTTTAGGTATTTCTACAGAAATATTGTACACATTTAAAATAATCATTTTATCTTTATTTGAAGCTATTAAATCATATTAATGAGCATTATAAGGTCATGATCAAATTTAAGATTTGATGAGTTATTTTGTCAAAATTATGCGTAAAGCGGACTTTTGAGAAAGAAAGGGAAGGACTTGCAACTGTAACGTGACAATTAAAAAACGGCCTTTTTTAAAAGAACGACATGTAATCTTGCTAATTTGACAGATAAATTATTACGCGCGTCGGTATCTTCTAAGATTAGCCTGCATCCGGTATTGCGTGAATTTCGTTGATCGCACGATTAATCTGTTAACACGGATGTAACACGGCGGTAATAATAAGGAAATTGAAATCTTCGTTTCCTCGATAATATCTGCTTCTGCATCATGATAGGATTTGTGGCATTTTGTCGTATTTTTATACCCTGTGTTTTTTCCCCAATTACGATCATACTTTGCCATCCAGGATATCGGCACGTAGAGGAAACGTTACAACTAGCATATACAATCTAAAAATACCTACACATACACATGCACTCACGCACCCACATACACACATATGATCGTGAATATTGTCATTATTATTATTATTATACAATGAATCGTAATTTCGTTTTATTCTCTTACGTGCATACCGCGATCGCATAGTTCTGCGACATTTATATCACCGAAGTTCTCACGCGCATACACAATACGGGAAGAATTCCGACGTATTTTGATGTAAATGATTCGTCGAAAAACCAGTCCTCCGTTGTCGAAATGCATTCCACATACCTAATCCACGATACTCTAATCTAATCTTGCATGGGAATTGGCGCATATCGATAAATAGAAAAATAAATACGACATTTAATGGAATGGATATCGGCATTGATTTTTATTGGTTTCTTCTAAGAATAGAAATGATCCGAGAAACGAGTGCATCGGCGAAATGAAAAATCGCGCTTGGAAAAGATAAATTTAATGATTATTATATAAAAGAAATTAGCCAATTAATTTCAAGGATTGGTATTTTGCATCATTTGCGCGAGAATTGCAATTTACACGTAAATGCACACAACACTATAATTGACGATAATAGCAGCATATCTTTTGAAGTAATAATTTGATAATTTCAGTACATCTAATTGTAAGCTGCAACGTATATATGTAATGAAAACAATTTGTAATTTATGATTATGGGTTTATATACGACACTTTGTAAGTTGCGTTTAAATAATGGAAAATAATAAATCATGAATGATCATCTCTTTTATCGAGAAGCATTAATTAATAAATACAAAGCTATTCAATGATGAAAATTATGAGATTTCAACGATAAAATGTCTTTAAAATTGAAATAAATGTAAGTACGTAGAGCAGAACGTACTAATATTAACTCATCTTTATATAAAGTTCTTTTTATTATTGTATTATTATGACTATTATTTTAGAAAATGTATATTAATTTCTTTTCAAAATTTAGGCTAGAATTGTATTTATAATTTTATATGTATGTACATAGTATGCATTCTCTCTGCTGTGTAATATGATAAACAGTTGAAGAATTAAAAAAACACACATTTAATTATAAAATATACACGTACGTAAAAAGATAATATGGCTTATATAAATAAAATTCTATAATCCTTAAATTTCACGCGAAGTACAGATGTGTAAAATAGTCTTTTAGACAAAAAATATTGATATTTATCAGTTTTCAAAGTACCGCCTAATTTAAACATCGAAAGCTTTCATTAAATATCTTTTTTTCTTGAAAAAGGAAAAGTAAATTTTATTATTTTATAATATGCTAGCGAATGGTTATTCGAAGAATACTTGGATTCACTTAATCCTTTGGACAAACAAAAAATAACATATTTAATAAGAATAGATACTTAAGTAATTAATATCTTTTATCAGCTATTATTTATTTTAACAGAGATATGGTAAACGAAGAGACTTTGAGAACCTCCTTGTGCGAGATGAGTACAAAACGCGCATGGATTAGCATCATTCGCTCACAGCATGCCATACAGGATGCGCAAACGTGACGAGCATTGAAGTCTCTCCCGGGGAAACTCCTAAAGAACGATGACGCAGTCATCTCCGGCTGCAATGGACCGTCTCAAACCAGTCCCACTATTTCTGTTACATTGCACCGATCGCACCTGCTATTTCTCTCTTAGCTCGTTCGTCTGGTGGTAGTAAATAGTATAGAAACAATAATTACTCATTGTCCGGCAATGTACGAACGTCTCTGACTGCGCCACCGAGGATGCCACCTTCGCGGATCGCTCGCGGCGGTGTTCGGGATCCGCGGGGTCCCTTTCACCGTTGGGGGTATCCTTGTGCATATATATACAAGCTTTCGGTTAGGATACTCTTGGCAATGGATCGGCAACCGGCGCCACAGTGCAAACGAAGCAACTGGTAAAGCAACATTTGCGAGCCGGCCTCTGCCGAGATCGCTAAGATGTGGACCCGCAGTTTGAAGTGTTCTCTGGTTGTGGTGCTTTTCGCGTGCGCGTTTCACGCCGGCTCAGGTAGTCCCCCACGTCGTCAAATCTATTTTAGTTCCGCATAAATATTTATCGCCCAAGCGGCGAGTCGTATTTCTAAAAGAATCAAAATATTATTGCAAGTGCATTTGTATAAAATAAAGTCAATCCTTTAAATGCTCACTCATTTATTAGATAATTTTTTTATTGACAATTTTATCTGTTTTTTTTTTAATTTTGTATTGTGTAAGAAAGATATAAATAGGAAAAGGATCTATATTATAATAATATATATTAAATTAAATTAAAATTAAGAAATACAAACGTTCTAAAATCAAGTAGTCTGCTTCTAAATGAATAATATTAATTTATCTTAAAAAATCGATTATATTATTTTAGAAATCGATTAATAATTATCAACAATTGTAAAAATATCGTAAATAATTAATGAATTTATAATATAATTTATAATTACACTTGGAAATTTTTCTTTTATTACACCAAATTTAATCATGTTAATTTATTGTAATTTATTAAAATTATATATACACTTATATATAAACTTGTATTATTTTAAATTTCGAGTGCACGTGCATTAGACAATGAAAGCAATAGCGGCTCCTTTAGTGTGTACATTAAATCCTCCTTTGTGTACAACTCAATGAAATCATCTTTATAAATATTGGAGGCCACCTCTTAGGTGCCATCGCGTCATAATTACATATATGGTTGTTAGCCTATCTGCGAAGAAGTACAATCGTTTTCATCTGTATTGTGAAACATATTACGAATTATTTTAAATTTACAACCTTCATCCAGAAAGTGTCGAGATCAAATTTATTATGGATAAATGAGAAGTATAAGTTCTTTCCGCGAGAATAAAGACTTATTCTCCTGCGCAATACAAATTTCGATATTTAATATCCGGACCGCTATTTACAATGATACCTGATGATTCCATGTGAGAATGTTTCGGCGTTAATGGACGTATGTACATAAAATGAATATTAATTAAGTATGTGATGTTTAAAACTTTGATTGTAACTTCCACGTAAACTTCGAATAAATAAAAAGAAAAAAAGAAACGAAAAGGTATGCTCACGTATATCATAATTTAAACACTGCTAAAATTGACTCTTATGTATGAATTTTTTTAGGTAGCGTATCAGCTGGTACGCGCGATGGAGCCAGTGCACCTGCATTAAGCAGCGCCGGTGCGCTTGAAGACGCAGAAAATATTTCTGGCGCTCACGATAGTAATAAGGGAATTCGTAGTTACGGCAGCACCGGTTTTCCCCGCGATAACAATGCTTATAACCGTGGTGTAAAATCTTACGGCACGCCTTCGGGATATGGCGCCAGTCATGATCACGGAATAAAAGGCGCAGGTCACGTCTATAATAAGAACGACTGCTCTAAATGCAAATGGGAGAATGACGATTACTGGGAACGAGATGAGCCGGAGGAGGAGGGGGACGAAAACGATGGGGATGAATGCGATGATGGCCAATATAGGCCCAGCAATAAAGCGCATCATCACGGTCCTGGTAGAGGACACAAACCAGGATCGCATCCATCCGGAGTACACAAGACGGGACCTACGGGCGTCTACGTTGATGACGGCGTCAAGGCAGATGGTAGCCTTGGCGGGCCTTTAGACGGTACCAACTATCCGGGAACAGGATATACGAGACCAGTCAGTGGCTATGAAAGCACCCCGAGACCTGGATCCAGCTGGAATACTCCATTTACTGATACATCAAAGCCTGGATATGGCAGCGTAGCCACGGGTGCTTTTGGAACAACACCGATCTCTTGGTCAAACTGGAACCAAGGGACAACACCGAGTGGTTTTGGCTCTTCGCCAAAGTCGCCATGGGAAAGTGGACATGACGGCAGGGTTCCTTCTTCGCAGGGACCTGGTGCGCCTATTCCGAACTTCAGCGCAACGACAAAACCTGGACAAGGATGGAACACCAAACAATTTCCGAGCGGTTCTTCTTTCCCGGTACCACATACAGGAAGTGGCATATCTTCTCCAAGTAGTTACGGAAATCCACAGGAAAATCTGAATAGGCCTTACGGACAACCTGGAACACAAAGTGCGTACTCATAATTCGATATTCTTATTGGTCATTAATATTAATTAGTATAAATAATATTGTAATTATAACGTAATAATAATTGAATAAATAAGAAAACGATGCGGAAAACAACTTAATTTTTATTGAAAGAATTACATGAGAAACGGTGGAATATCTATCAACTTAAAATTCTTTAGAATGTTAATATAAATAAACATATATAATACTTCTACTTGTACAGGCACATATGCTGGCGCTTATGCTGGAGCGAGCGTAACATCTGGTATTGGAAGTCCTCATGGACAACCATCTAACTTTGGAAGAAAAGATCATTATCCGTTTGATCTCCATAAACCAGTAAACACCCAGGCACCACAAGGAACATATCAACCATATGGAACGTATCAAGCACCCTCTAATACTGATAGCGACTACGTTCTTGGAGGTTACAACAAACCCGAACCTGGTTTTTATAGTACGCCTGCAACTGTAACAAGTACTTTCGGAACTACCAATAAAGGACCATATGGAGGAACCAGTTCACCTAGAACTGTTCTTGGAGATCAAATTAATTCATTTGCTCCTGGAAAATCACCCGAATCATCAACTGAGAATCCTTATGTGTATCCAGGTATCACGAAACCGAGTTATGGTGGTTATAGTACTACCGCTTCCTGGTTAGGCACTGGTCAGACTGGAAGCGGAAGTAGCACTTGGCATAGTACTCCTCATACTGGATTTCCAACGTCAAATACTGGATTTAGAACAACTAAACCGCCGTTTAGCCACGTTAGCATCCCAAGTCCTACGTTATCTGCTCCATACGACAGAAGAGAACCGAATCAACCTAATTTTAATGTTGCGAGTAGTAGCGCAACTGCAAGTGCTGGTACAAGCGTGTTTGGAACATCGTCTCCTGGTACATACAGCTCTCATAGCATAACAGGAACAACTCCCTCGTTATATGATACAACACCAGCATATAGAGGAAGCTCACGTTATACTCCCGGGGTTAAAGGTTCTGTCGGAAGTACTAGACCTGCATATGGAAATGTTCCTCATACATATCCTAATATTGAAAGTAGTACTTGGTCTGGAGGACAGCCTGGAAGCACCTCCAGACCTTGGTCTAGCGGAAAACCTGAAGATGGAAGTGGAATTACGCCTGATAGGCATTATCCAAGCGTTAGCGGAATTTTGCCTCACAAGCAACCTCAAGCTGGAGGCAGAGTGTGGCCTACTAGACATCCTGCAAGCGGAAGTGGAGGTTGGCCTAGCCAACAACCTGGAGATGGAAGTGGGACGTGGCCAGGCCAGGTACAACCAGGACATGGAAGCGGACATCCTACAAGCGGAAGTGGAAGTTGGCCTAGCAAACAACCTGGAGATGGAAGTGGGACGTGGCCAGGCCAGGTACAACCAGGACATGGAAGCGGGCCTGGATGCAAACCAGGTGAAAATTGTGGAGGTCCGCAAGGAAGTAGTAATTGCGGAGGATGTTGTGGAAATTATAATTGCGATAGCGGTTGTGGTGGAAGAGGCAATGTACCAGCACACGGATTGTGTGGAGCAACCGGGCCTAGTGGCGTTAATAAAACATATTATCCCGCTGGAACTGGCGATGGAAATGTGCCAAATATTGGAACTGTATATGCTGGACCAGATTCAAATTTTAATAGAGCCGGTATTAGGCCAATTTATCCTGGAACGCAAGGTAAGCAAAAAGAAAAATGAGATATAATATTTACAAATTGACTAAAACACTTTAAATGAATATTACAAATATAAACGATTATATTTTATTATTTAGGCAATTAACGATATTTTACGAATTATTTAAACGATTATTTTAATATTTAGTTTTTTAAATAATATGTAAAATAATAAGAAATGTGCTGTTTGGTAATTATAAATATGATTAAAACTAAATTTTGATTTTAATTCTTATTGAAGGCGCAAGTGGAAATGAAACACCGGAAAATGAGCCATGGAATAAGGAAAATCCATTCTTATATGTAGATGGAGGTATGTGATAATTGAAAATTTTGAATCTTACTATTTTATATATTTTTTACTTTTATACCAAAACAATATTTTATAAATAAAAAAGTATAAGAAAATTTTCTGTAACAAAAAATTTATGTTTAGGATGCAATTTATTACGTAAAATAAAAAAAATATACAATAATAAGTGAAATAGATCGATATGTGAATTAACAACAGTATAAATCTATTCGTTTAAAGTGGATCTTTTTGCGTAAATTTATGGACATTTAATTTCCAGTTTATTCAAATTGCGCATTGATTATTTGTTGGTTTTAAAGTATAGTAGTCCTAAATTTTAAAAAATTTATTTAGAATTCATCATATAAAAGTTACACAAAATATATAATTTTATATAAGATCGCTGTTTTACTAAAAATAATGAGATTATGACTAAAATATTCCAAAATAATACGATACTAATTTCTCAAAATTTTAATAATAAATTAAATATTTTTACTTGTAATATGTGTTTTTACTTGTAAAAACTTACTCCATTACTATCTTACTCCATTGTTAAGGCGGTACTCCAAGCAGTGTTTCATCTCCCTGGATTGAAACTACAGATAAACCAATCGGTCAAGGAAATCTTTTTCTCGATCCGAATTGGAATAATCGTAATCCTGGATACAATGATAGAAATGTGATTCCTCATGGAGAAGAAAACCTATTGGTCAAGCCTATTGGTCAAGAAAATCTTTTTCCGAATGGTAATAGAAGAGAAAATATCGGTGATAATCCTAGTGCTGTGATTCCGCTCAAAGAAAAGATACCAGAAAGTGGCGGTCCGTCATATGGTACACACTCAGATAGATCCGGAGCACCAGGAAGTTTCCCTGGCTCGGAAACACCAGGAAGTTATCCTGGATCGGGAACACCAGGAAATTATCCTGGATCGAGAACACCAGGAAGTTATCCTGGCTCGGGAACACCAGGAAATTATCCGGGATCGGGAGCACCAGGAAGTTATCCTGGATCGGGAACACCAGGAAGTTTCCCTGGCTCGGGAACACCAGGAAATTATCCGGGATCGGGAACACCAGGAAGTTTTCCTGGATCGGGAGCACCAGGAAGTGGCGGTTACGGTGGTGTAAAAGGCGGTTTTCATGCCGGCGGTGCTTCCCCACAAGATGGAAATAGAGCTTATCCTCAATCAGGAGGTAATCCTCAAGGACCATTACAATGTAAGCTGGGTCTGTTTGGATGTGGAACAGCCGGCAGTGGAAGCTACGCAGGCGATAAAAATCCAGGAGGAGCGTTTGGTGGAAATGTTGGAACCGGTACTGGAAATCCAGGAGGCGTTGGCAATGTTCCTGGTGGGCCCGGGAATTCCGGAATTGGTCCTGTATCCAGTCATTTCGCTGTCGGCGCAGGTCATCCCGGATCAGGAGGGAACAATTTAGCGGCGTCCGTTGGCGGTGCCCAGGCGAGAGCTTATGCTGGATCTGTCAGCTCTGCTCAAGCTTCCAGCTCTGCGCAGGCTTCCAGTTCTAGTTTTGCCGGTTCTTTCTCTGGCGCGCCAGGTTTGTAGCTTAACAACTTTTAACATGGACATTTGCAATCAAAACAAAATCTATGAAAAAAAATTTGAAGGCACAACTTTCAGTAAAAAACGCCACGTTTTAAAAGTAAAAAATAATTAGTGCTATATGATATCCTTAAAGTTACAAAAAAATATAATTTAGCGTACAATATTTTACAATTATTTGAAAATTAAAAAAAATATATTTTTTTAATTAAAGCAATAATATTTTTATATTTTCTTTAAAAAAAAAGTAAGGATTATTGCAAATATTAGATCTCAAAGTATAAGTAATATCACAATGATATATGGATGTGAATTCAATAAAACTTATTGAAACTAATAATTAAAATAACACTATAGTTAAATGTACTTAACAGAAAACAAGTTCGTTTCTTTGTTTATATTCAAATTAAAACTGATGATCTGAAAATGAACAGGCAAACGGATAGTTCAAAATTAAATAACTAGCGTTGCGTTAACGAGCCGCACGATCATTAAGATTAGAATGAGGGAGTATATAAGACTGTAAATCAAGTCAACGATGCATTCATAATTCCATGGCGTTTATATCTCCGCGATGTCAAGTAGATCATACCAACGGAAGTTTTCTCACGGCTAATATCACGTCTTAGCGAGACATTGTAGTGGCATTTTTTTGAAACAAGACGAATATACGCGAGATAAGAGCATAATTTCTCTCTCACAATGGGAAAAATGGCTTCAAGGTCAGCCGCGTTTGCATTACGAGGGATTGGAAATACGCGTGTGATTGATGCGTTCCTTCGTACAATGATGCATAAATCAAAGATAGCAACATCTTAATTAATACTAAGCGCCGGTTCCAAGTATCCGTTTCCGTTCTTTGACTATGAAAGCTGTACACACACTATTTGCATCAGCATAGTTAATTTGATATCATTGTAATATCTAGCAATGCTGCTTCCCAATATATGCATTTCTATCTGTTATAAGATAATATGGCAAATGTCATCAGCTTGTTGCAATCAGTTTTCAAAAAGATTTGTATTTTATTTTAAATTTGGAATATTTTTTAAACAAGTCGCATTTAATTCAAATTATATTACAACAAATAAACTTTTTCAAAGATAAAATACTCTGTTTATCAATTTTTAATTGTTTTATTTTTAAACAAGTTCAGAGTTTTACTTGAAGATATATGGTTTAAAAGTTTTTAGCACGCTAATATAATAAGATAAATAAGACAACAACTGGTTTATATGGAAATGTAAAAAAACAATTTCGTGTTTGTAGGACCTGCCAATAATTTTGGCGGAAATTTGTCTCCAAATGGAGCACAAAATCAAGATGGATCTAATTCTTGGGCTTCTAGCGGTGCCTCCGCCTTTGCCAGTAGTAGTGCCGGAAGTAAGTTTCCGATAGAATTATTTTTTTTTAATATTTGTATTTAGAGGTAATTTAATGGAAAATTATAGGAAAGAACATTAAAAATAATATTAAACTATCATTTGATTGCAGGCTGGTCAGGAAATCGTCCTATCGACGTGAAGGGTTAACCAGTTTAATAAGAAAGCGAATATTAAAAAATATAATAAATGCAGACGACGATGTAATTTCGAAATATAATACACATTTTACGTCGCCACTTAATCATTAAAATACTAAACGCCTCTCATGTAAAACTTTATGTATAAAGAGATTTTATATTTATATGACGTATCATTCATTTATCGCAATCGATACGAATAAAATTTTCCTTTTTTGTACATATATTACAGTTAATCGATCGAAAAAATAAATAGATTTCCTAGAATAATGATTTACGTCACAAGCACTAATTATCGGTTATATGATCGATAATTGGTCGTAATGTAAATATTCCATGAAAACTCTATAGAATATTCCACTAAAAACTATTAATTCTCATTATCTTTACCCTATCATTTTTTATCTTATAGAGATATTCCTTAATTAAATCTTTAAACAAATATATAAATAAGGAATTTTCCATAACACAGGCAATAATATTCGATCTTAATATTCCGAGGGAATGGATAATCAACGTATCAAATACGTAGTGTATGTTAACGAGCAAGCTATTATCCTTAATATTCTTACAACGCAGAAGTAGTTACGGCTCGCTGAGAAATGTATAAAAGGACGTTTTTAGTCCATAGGCTCAGTTGTTTTTCTTCCGAGGCTCGCTGTGTGTTTCTCGAGAATCCAGTTCATCATGAAAATCATTATATTAATTTCGCTTCTATTAGCGTTATTGATTCAATTATGTAGCGCACAGTTTGGTAAGTCTTATTATTTATATTATGAGAATACTTAATTAAAGAATATGATCAGGTTCGCGACGTGATGTAATTCTATTATTAATTAATATCCAATGTAGAATAATTTTAATAATAAAATTTATATCCTAAAAGAGTTAAGATATAAATTAATTTTATGGCTATTTTAAAGCAGAATTGATTAATTATTACAATTTGTATTCTAAAAAAACTAAATTTTGGGATTATTTTATATAAAGTTTTGATTAATATTTATATTTTAAAATATTATTTACATAGATTAATAAATTATTATATCACATTCTATATTTTTATTTTTTTCATGTCTTCTTTGATGTCAATTAAAGATATTTAATTTTTAATTATTTAATAAAGTTAATAATTACAGGATTGCTTTTAATTGAAGTGTTATGTTATTTATATCGTGTCTGAGAAAAAATCAGCAACTAAAGATATTCATTTAAGTTTTCTAATCCAATTAATCTTCTAACTTTTAGAATATAATTAATGTGTTATATCCTAATTATATCATAATTATGGATGTATATCATTATTATAATTAAATCTTGATTATATCATACTATAATTAAATCTTTAGAATTGAATTTTAAACAAATTTTAAATTTACTTATATAAATATATTAGGATTAGAGAGCATGCTTGGCATGGGAGGAAGACGAGGCAACGGTCGCAGAGGAAGCTGGAGCAATGGTTATAATATGGGTGGAAATATGGGACGAGGAATGGGATACGGTATGGGAGGAGGATACAATATGGGGCAAGGATACGGAGGAGGTATGGGAGGATACGGAGGTATGGGAGGATATGGACGATAAAAATGAGGATATTGGGCGGGGAAACGCATCAATAAAAGGTATATATTAAAATCTAAAAAAAAAAAATAAATAAATTGATAATCCCCAACTATCATAATGAAAGTTTCTGTGTCTCCTCATTCTATTCGTATTATATCGCATTGTATTACATCACATTAAATTATAATAATATAATAAAATAAAGAGAACAAGAGATCATATGAAAATGTTTTCCTTTAACTATATATTAATATTAAACTCACATAGTACTTTGTCTCAATAGAAATAAAAATGTATTAAAGTAATTAAAGAAAAAAAAAAAACTAAGTATACATACGAATTAAGTTTTTCGCATACTATTCATGTGTGACAAACTCATATAGAACAATATTAAGATATTTGATATTATTAAAAGATATCAGAAGATATATTTTCTATTTCGGTTCATGAATTAATAAGCAGCTGTAAATTCTCAACGATAAATTACCTATTATAAAGTTAATTTTATAAATATATTAATATCAATACATGCGAATTAAATGTATAAATTTATCAAAATATATAAATGTAAGATTTAATAAGTTTTTTTATATTTTACAATTTATAGTATCGAACGTATGTAATGGCATAAGAAAAACTAATTTATTTTCCAAAGTGCAAGAACAAATTTCGCAATCTCTCGCTTTTGACGTCACACTTTAATGTATGCTGTAGTAAAAAACGATTTCAAGTAAGCGCAGTATTGCAATAAAAATAGTTTAATAGATTACATATTCATCACTTCTATTTCAATACTAATCAATTTTTTTTTTAATTTCTGCTATAAACTGTATTATTAAAAGATAACGGATGTGGCACAATTACAGTTTATAAAGCAATAAACTTTTGAAAATATTGAATGTTACAAATTACAATTAGCTAGGGATGTATAAAATGTTGTATGATGATTTCAACAATAATAATTTAATAATTTTTAATTAATTTTGTAACATTTTGTATGTTCCAGATATCTTTTAATTCTCAACTACATGGAAATACGGAACGTATTACATATCTTTCTTATAGATTAAATAAATATATGTGTAAAAATCAGCATCTGATACTTTTTCGTTTTTATCTGTACCATTCTGTACCAATAATTGCTTCTCTATTACATATACTTATTTGTTAAAATTATTTTTCTATAATTTAATTCAATCTCGCTTTCAGCCAATAATTTTTTATATTAATTATAACATTTTCGTCTTTTTCAGCTTAGAATTTTAGAAAAAAATAAAAACAGTTTTAATATCTTTGTAGCATTATTATAAACATCTTTTTTTGAGTTCCAAATTTTCATATACGTATTTTATTTGCTTCTTTATTTCTTTTTTCTAAAGTATGTTTTATTTTTTTAATGTCCAATGTAATAATTTGTACTTATAGATATAATTTTATAATATTTAGTTTACATTAAATGCAATGCATGGGCTATAAACAATTTACTCAGATAGGACCATTAAGTAACTTAGCAATTTACTTAGAAATTAATTTATTATTTGTCCATACACAGGAAAAAATACGACTTTATCAGACCTATTGGCATATAAAACAGATATAGGTGTAATCATGGAAATATGCTATACAACTACAAACATACGGTGCTCAATGTAAAGAAACAGAAAGCCGTAATAGACTAGATCCGTGTAGTTAGGATATGTGATTTGAGGAGAGGTGACTATTTAATGCTGTTTTATGGGCGAATTTTTTCATACAAATAAGACATTCGTGAGTTTTTTCGTTAACGTGCACCAACAAGTGCTTTTTCAACGCTGCTTTGTCTTTGAATATTTTTTGACAAGTACTACATTCAAATGGTCTCTCACCGGCGTGTACCAGGATGTGGCTGTTCAACGTACTCTTCTGCGTGAAAGCTTTGTGACATACGTAACATTCGTACGGTCTGTCACCGGTGTGACTTAACATATGTTTCCTCAACGACGACTTTTCCTTGAATGTTTTAGAGCAGATATGACACGCGTGTCGCTTATCGCCCGTGTGTATGATCATGTGCGAGTTCAATCGCGTCTTCTCCCGGAACGCCATGTCGCACATATTGCACGCAAATGGTTTCTCACCGGTGTGTATTAGAGTATGCCGATTCAGATCCGACTTCCTGGTGAAGATTTTGTCGCAAACCTTGCAATCGTACTGGCCACCGGTGTGTAACAACATGTGACTGTTCAAATCCGATTTCCTCGCGCACGCCTTGTGGCAGACGTGGCACTCGTGCGGTTTCTCGCCCGTATGGACCAACATGTGGGAATTCAATTTGGCCTTCTCTCGGAAAGTCATCAAGCATTCTTTACACTCGTACGGTCGCTCACCGGTGTGAACCATGGTATGCCTAATCAATTCAGATTTTCTCTTGTACGTTTTCTCACATATGTTACACGCGTGCGGTTTCTCACCGCTATGCGCCAGCATGTGATTGTTGAGCGCAGTCTTCTGGGCGAACGCTCTATGACACAACGTACACTTGAAATGCTTGTTTCCCGTGTGCAACGGCAAATGCATGTTCAGCTTTGCCTTTTCCTTGAACGCCTCGAAACAGATCGTGCATTTGTAGGGTTTGTCCACACTCGAGTGATTGGACATGTGTCGATTCAAATTAATTTTCTCCTTAAACGTCACGTGACACACGTCACATTCGAAGGGTCTGTCCTCCATCTGCATCATCTGTTCATTCATAGTTCGCTTCATAAAAGCTTGCTGGAGCGCGTCGCAATCGTACGGTTTATCCAGCACATGCAATTGCATGTGGCTCCTCAAGCTCCACTTATAGGCGAATCTTTTCTGACAGATGTTGCATTCTAACGGGCTCATTCCAACGTGAGTTAACATATGGGCGTGCAGGCTAGAGTTGTCGGTAAAAGTCTGCTGACAAACCTCGCATTGACTTCCACTACAGTGCGACCTTAGATGCGTGACCATGGAATCATTGTTCAGAAACCATTTCTTGCAGATTGAGCATTGGATCTTGTAAAATTTCGCTTGTTGCCCATTTTGACAGAATCCATGGTGCTTGTCGGGATCTTGCGTTTGTATAAAATTTGTATTAGTCAAGCATCGCTGCATCACATCCTCCTTGTCACATAAATTAGCATTTGCTATTTGCGACCAGTTTTGATGGCTTGTCGATTCTCCTTCCAGCTCCAACTTCACCTGCGAAAGTTCACAAGGCTGTTAGAAAAGACGTTGCGACACGACATGTATAAATGTCACAAAAACAAGTCGCATTTTTATTAAATGGCTAACGTTACTCGAAATTTGGAATCTATGCGGATGTAAAATTATATCAAAAGGATTACACAGCTGTACGCTTGTTATATACATACCATTTCGTTGGAGAAATCCACCTCATTGTTTTCGATAGGCAAAAACAGAGTGCCCTTCTCGAAAGTGCCTGAGCAAATATCCTCCATGTAGTCGGGATCAAATCTGTCGCCTGGTTCCTCCTTAAGCACGACGCTCACAATGTTCTCATCCTTAAAGTAATCGTTACGTTAGACTCTGGACAGCGCCAGGAGTACGCCGTATACCTGCTGCTGTTTCATACAAAAAGTTTACCATAACCTGACTGTCTATGGCTAATGCATCCATCGGTTCATCTTTCACCTTAAAACCTTCCATTTGCTACACTTCACTCTGAAAGTGAAATCAATTTATTCGCTTACATTTCACAATGCGATCAACACACAGTGTCTAAAGGAGGAAAGAAAAAAAAAACAAATCCAAGGTAAAGAGAGACAAGGAAAAAGCTTTGTACACGATGGGTGCAGCCAGAAGTTACGTTTTGATATATATATTATATTGTATTACGAGAACGTCCTCCCATAACCTCTCTCGGAACGCGGCGAACGGTTCCGGGGAACGCGGCTTCCGCGAGGCCCCCGTCCCCGTGGCCTCGCCTGCCGCGTCGTTCGCGAACCTGTTGCCGCGTTCCGGGAGGGCCGGTCGGAGGCGCGAGTCGCGCGTAATTCGCCCCAAGTCGATACTCACAGCATAGGTTACATGGCCCTTCCATGGAGAGTACAAAAATATAGGTTGCGCGCGGGGGCCGGACGACGCTCCTTCAACGGCTTCAACCTGTTCGCGGCGCCGCTGGGAATATCGCACCGCGGCTTCGGAGCAGCCGATTCGCCGCGCGGGCGCGGGTCCTTGTCCCCTCCGATTCTTGACTCGACTACCGATCGCGGGTCGTGAGCCGCAGGTGACGCGCGAACGCGACGACGAACTCTCTCTTCGTCGACGAGGGAATCGACGAGGCGATGCGATGCGATACGCTACGCGTTGGCTGGCTGGCGCCGTAGATAACGTACGTAACGTTGCACAAAACGCACCCGCGCGCGCGCGCGCCACATACACACACCACACACACACACAACGCGGGCACACACACACCAACCGCGCGCACGTGTGCGCGTGCGTGCGCGCACACACATATGGCAGCTCGACTGGCTTGATGCTGCGTCGCGGCGTGCACGTACATAGTACATACGTGCATACGTCACGCAACGGCGGTCACGCACACGCGCACGTGTATGCGCACGCACGCCGCACGCAACGCGAGTCGCGAGGCGCTGCGCACGTTTGGGATTTATGCGCGCGCTTGACAATAAACGTACTAGTGCGAGGCAGATGTTCCTTTCGATGTTCGACGCGGGATATCAGTTGCTTATGCAAGACAAGTCGATCGAAGGATCCCACGGATCTAGGTTGATATTCTCGTCAAATAAGGAGCATATCTTCATGCGACAGAGGGACGACCGCGCATTACGGAGTTACGACGGCATAGTATTGTAACGAGACGAAAAGAAGCAGAATCAGTACAGGTAAATTTATAATCCATATGTAACTTATTACGTACGTAACTGTTTCGTGTCGAGGAATAGATAGTATATACAACTGATAAAAATTATTATATATATATATATATATATATATATATATATATATAAGAGGTATCAATTTTTAAATTTAAAATATATCTTAATGTAGTTATATAATCTTTGTAATTGTTTTAAATATTTTATGTATAATGTTTTATATTTATAAATATATAAAATATGATCATATATAAAACAATTTTACATGTTTTATATTTATATCTTATATCTTATATGCGGTTTTTAATAGCATATGTTTTATGTATAAAAAAGTAACGTTTGAAACGCTTTAAATATTTGCATTTTAAGTATTTAAATATGTAAATTATAATTTGAGATATAGATGAACAAAAAATAAACTTGATATATTCGATCTTAGCTGATGTTTATGAATTTGTTACTTATTTTAAATCTTATAATAAATAAAAAATAGAATTACTTATGCTGTATAAGGCCGTTCTACAATAGCGTAAATATAGTTCTAAGCTTATAAACCATAAGAAATTGACCAATCATAATCAATTATTCTTACATTCGATTGTGGTGGGTCAATTTCTTACAGCTTTCAGCTTATGACTATGCGTTCACTCTATTATAGAACGGCTTTTACATGAAAATCTACGCGTATATAACGAAGGTCATGGTACAATAGTAGAGACAAGTTATGATAATACTTATCATTTTATCACGCTTTTTTATCCTATGAATTAAGTGAATGTCGTGAATGATTTGAATTTGAACGAAATAAATGAAACTGTTGTATATATATCTTCTCAATTTTTTCTTCTTAAAATGATTCAGAACGTAATAACACATCAGATGATGCATTAGATTGCTAGCATGAGTAAGCATGTACAGTTACGTACGATGAAACATGCAAGATTTGTGGTGATGATCGATAATGAGAATAAGTTAGAAATCCGAGCAAAAAACAAAGATATAAGATATGCGTACATTTTTATTTAATGCTTTGCAATAATTATATGATCATATTTTTATTATTGCATACTTTAACCAGTTTAATTGAAATTAAATTAACATATTTTCAATTTAATAAGGAATTTATTCTAATAGAAATAAAAAATAATACTACTGGTGGTTAATTTACTAAAAATATTTATTACAACAGGAGTATTAATTAGTTAATTATAATTTTTGATATATCGATATTAATATGACAATATTATACGCGTTATTGTTATAGCTTATTTTGACTATCAAACCGAACAATTGATTAGCAAAACAAT